GTGCCCGTGGCAAGAGCTTGCATTGCCGGGTCGGGGTTGTCCACGAACTTTAAGCCGGCTTTTAGGGCTGATGAGGTGGCGAGCCACTCCAACCTCGGGATCGCAAGTCCCCCGTCCCTCTTACCGCAGTATAATAAGGCGTTCGTTGTTGCCTGCGGCAGGTGAAGAATATTCTTCACCACTACCCGTAGCTCCTGGTCCATCAGTTTTATCTGTGTCATAGCCGGCATCGCTATGGACAACTGATACAGGTAATGAGGAACAATGTAAGTAGAGATTAAGTCTATCTTTTGATGCGGTTTCAACTTCAGTCGTTGCACACGACTAAGAGTTGAAGCAAGGTCGGCTCGTATGCCCTCGGTTGTGACCCCAACCCAGGGAGACAACTTGCATCCAAGGTAGACAAGGTGATCGCCGGCCCCCGCTACCGGTATCACTTCTCCACTGTCGAGTTCGAGGCCTGGGTCAGTTAAGTACCAGGAGTCTTTGGTACGGTTTACACGGAAGGTGCGGCATTTATTGGCAGCAATCTTCATACCTAGACTCGATAGGTATGCTTCCGTGCTACTTAACTGGTCCTTAGCATGTGGTACTGTTTGCGCGACTAGGAGCAGATCGTCGGCAAATGCTAAGGACGATATCTGCGTCTCTGTGTCGATTTGTACCCAGGTCTCGTTTCCAGCTTATCTAGCAAGGGCTCCAAAACTAGATTAATAGTAATGGGCTGAGGGGGTCACCTTGCTTGACCCCCCGCTGGAGGCGTATCTCGATTGGCGCCTGATTAGTTCTATAATAGTAGTTACATCCTCATATGCATTTTCCACGATACGTACCACCTGTTCGGGAAAACCTTTGCGACGTAACGCGTGTCCTATAGCTTGGTGCGGCACGTATCAAATGCTTTGGACACGTCCAGCTGCGTTACGACCAGGCCATTCTTGGCTTTTGAGTGCCTCAGCAGCTCATTGAGGATGTGGATGTTGTTGAAGCACCCAGATTCGTTCATGAAGCCCTTTTGTCTGGGTGAGAACCGTGCTTTTGCCCTAAGTTTGCTGTCAATAATGCCAAAGTAAATTCTCGACATTAAAGAAGAGATTGTAATTGGACGGTAGTTTCAGCTAACATACCGTCCTTACCCTCTTTAGGGATCAAAGTAGTTCGGTTCTTCCTCCAGGCGGTAGGAATCTTACCGCTTATCATGATTAAATTGAAAAATAACTGGAGGACTTCGTTTGCACCAGGAACGCGTTTAATGTCTCCCTTTTTAATACCATCGGGACCCGGTGCTGTGGACATTTTCATCCGAGAGAGACGTGTTCACCTCTTTCACCGTCACGGCGGTTAGCACAGTACCTAACCCAAGTGCCGGTTCGGAGGGCTCTCCCAGGAAGGGCACCTGTACTTCCGACGGATTTGTGCCCCAAAGCTTTTTGTACAGGTCCCGCACGTCTTGGGCTGGAGCTTTTACCCCTGGTTCCTCCAGCCAGTCCACGTTGTTACGGACGTGCTTGGCAAGAATGCCTGGCTCTTTTTTGTAAATATCCTGGGTACGGGCGTAGAGGTACCGTCTGTTACCCCTCTTATTTTGTCCTCTACGCCTTCCCTTTCGTCGCCCTGCAACTCCCCGCTCCTCGCTGACGAAGAGAGCGGTGACTCTATCATGTAAAGTATCTATTTGCGATTGGGGCTGCCCCATAGGCAAATCGCAAGCCTCGGAGATTGCATTTCTAAGCAGCTGGGTGACCGTGTTCACCTCCAGATGTTGCTGTGCCGCTCGAGTCAACTTGCAGCTACGGGCAGTCTGAGCAACATCCTGTCTCCAAAGTGTCTCTTCTGGAGAAGCTGCTGGCGATACCAACTCATCTACACTGACATTCAGTACCCTCTCTGACATGTCAGGCGTCTGAGTCGGACTTATGTTTTCGGCGGTGGGGGTGATATTATTAACGTTATTTTCACCCCCTGCAATGGCAGCTACTGCTGATACGTCGAGTAGCTCCGGGACTGGGATAGGGGAGCCACCCCCTACTCCCGCTTCCTCGCAGCTGTTGGTTTCGGGCGCTTCTTCTTGGGGGACGGTAGCTCTACCATCCCCTGTGTCTGTGGATACTGGTTCTGTACTGTCATCATCAGTACTAGCGCTCGCTGTGATCCCTCTTTCTGCGAGGTACCTTTCACGCCGTTCTTTGTAGCATTTTTGGGCCCTTTTGTCCCGGAGTTGTTTCAAAGTTTTCTCTGGTATCAACTCCCGCATGCGCATTGCTATACGCAACTCACCCCGGTACCGGAGTTCGCACTCCATCATTATTTGTTCCTCCTCTTCAGTAAAGATAACCAATCTTCTTTGTCGAGGAGACCGCCGTGTACCCGCTGCCCTAGCTTCGTTTCGGGTGAGTGGATGCCGGTGCCGCTGGTGCTGTGTTAGTGCACCGCGGCCGGAGTACCTTTCGCCGCAATCGGGGCAGGCCACGCCTACCGATTCGGGTATAGGCCTGTTACTTGGTACTCCGTCAGTCTCTGAGTCTGTTGACTCTGGAGGTGGGGCTGCCGCAGCAGCTCCCACCGGGCACTTGGGGACGTGACACAGTGCCGCATGTTTTGCTATATACATTTTTGAGCACATCCTGCATTTGAATCTGATTTGTATATCCTTGTGATCAGATTTTACATGTTTTATTTCATCATTTAAGGTCATGTGCAGGATGTTAATGCTTCTTTTGAGGCATAGGGGGCATGACCTTTCTATATAGGGGAGCAAAATCTCAATGTCCTTGTTCGCCATTTCCATCATCATGGGCCCCTGGTCTAGGATTTTGGGATGGTGTGGGCCCATCACCACCCGATCTTCCGAGGCTATGTTTATTCGAGTCGTAGCCTGATACTATGCAACTTGGCTGGCTGGGCCAAGTGCATGTCTTCCCCTAAGGGGTAAGATACAAGGTGGTCTGTATCTCGCCCTCGGTTTCCATACCGACCCCTTATGACTGTCCGCAGACAGGCCCCGACCGGGTAATCGGGGGGCTGGTTCCTAGTTAGCCGTCATCCTCGTTCAAATGCCTAACCAAAGGTAAGGCGGGTGGATGAGCGTTGCCCAGCAGTCACCGCGTGGAGGTCAGGAACCTTTGACCGCCAAGAGAGTCATAGTTACTCCCGCCGTTTACCCGCGCTTGCTTGAATTTCTTCACGTTGACATTCAGAGCACTGGGCAGAAATCACATTGAGTCAACACCCGCAGGGGCCATCTCAATGCTTTGTTTTAATTAGACAGTCGGATTCCCCCGGTCCGTGCCAGTTCTGAGCTGACCGTTGAATGGCGGCCGAAGAGGACACCAGAACGCCCTTGCGAGCGCACTCTGGGCCTCGCAGCAAGACGGTTCCGCGGGAGGCCAAGGCACGGTACCGAGTTCGGATCCGCAATCCTACCGCACACGCGCGAACGCATACGACAGAACGTTTCACCTCGCCCAGGCCCGGCACGTCAGCCGCGACCCGCTTCCTCGCCAAGCCCGACACGCCCCGATCCTCAGAGCCAATCCTTATCCCGAAGTTACGGATCCAATTTGCCGACTTCCCTTACCTACATTATTCTATCGACTAGAGGCTCTTCACCTTGGAGACCTGCTGCGGATATGGGTACGAACCGGCGCGACACCTCCACGTGGCCCTCTCCCGAATTTTCAAGGTCCGAGGGGAAGACCAGGACACCGCTGCAACTGCGGTGCTCTTCGCATTCCAAACCATATCTCCCTGCTAGAGGATTCCATGGAACTCGAATGCTTATGCAGAAAAGAAAACTCTTCCCTGGTCTCCCGACGGCGTCTTCGGGTCTTTTTGGGTTACCCCGACGAACTCTCTTGCGAGGGCCCGACTATTGTACGGTTCCGCTGCCGGGTTTCGGAATAGGAACCGAATTCCCTTTCGCCCGACGGGCGTGTTCTTTATATATACACACATACATACATATATTTATAAAAACAACGCCACATCAACATCGGCTTTCGCCTAGGGCTTAGGATCGACTGACTCGTGTGCAACGGCTGTTCACACGAACCCTTCTCCACGTCAGTCCTCCAGGGCCTCGCTGGAGTATTTGCTACTACCACCAAGATCGCACGACGGCGGCTCCAGACGGCCTCACGGCCAGCCCTTCTGCGCGCACCGCCGCGACCCTCCTACTCGTCAGAGCTTCATGGCCGATCCGTTTTTACGCGGATCGAGACCGCACATGCCGCTGACGGCCGAGTATAAGCACGACGCCTTCAGCGCCATCCATTTTCAGGGCTAGTAAACTTCGGCAGGTGAGGTGTTACACACTCCTTGGCGGATTCCGACTTCCATGGCCACCGTCCTGCTGTCTTAAGTTACCAACGCCTTTCATGGTATCCCATAAGCGTCGATTTAGGCGCTTTAACTCGACGTTTGGTTCATCCCACAGCGCCAGTTCTGCTTACCAAAAATGGCCCACTTGGCACTCTGATTCGATTCTCGCAGCTTCATTAGTTCGAGCAAGCCGGAGATCTCACCCCTTTAAAGTTTGAGAATAGGTTGAGGTCGTTTCGACCCCAATGCCTCTAATCATTCGCTTTACCGGATTGAAACTCGTCACAGACGAGCGCAGCTATCCTGAGGGGAAACTTCGGAGGGAACCAGCTACTAGATGGTTCGATTAGTCTTTCGCCCTATACCCAGTTCCGACGATCGATTTGCACGTCAGAATCGCTACGGACCTCCATCAGGGTTTCCCCTGACTTCGTCCTGACCAGGCAT